GGTCAGAGTAAAGAAAATCATCAACAAGTAAACATCCGGAGACATTTTTAATTTTAATCTGTTACTTTAAACAGAATTTAACACTGAAATAAAATGAGGTGTTTATGCATCCATGTTATACATTTAACTTTTAAATAAAAATATATTGAAAAATAAAATAAAAATAGGGGGGATACAGGTGGCGCAGTGGTTAGTGCACACGACCCATGTACAGAGGCCTTAGTCCTCAATGCAGCCGACCCGGGTCCGGGTTTGAATCCGACCTGTGGTCCTTTGCCGCATGTCTCTCATTCCTCCTTTCCTGTCAGCCTACTGTCAAAAAAATTAGCCACTAGTGCCGTAAAATCTAATAAAAAAAAAAAATCACATTTTAAAATCTGAATTGTTTTTGAAGTAGAGAACAAAAATCGTTCAATTTGGTATATAGACAATTTCCTGATTCACATATTTTATCAAACACCTGAAATGACCATTTGTTATTTTCTTTCTTTTTTCTGTCTTAATGTTGGCAGTGGGCTTTAGGCTGCCCTGCAAGGCTTTAAACCTGGGTTTAACCGGAGACTAAGCCATTCTCAAGCACATATCAAGGAGCTCATTTTGAGCCTGGATCCAGATTTATTGTTGATTCTGTTCATGGTGGAGAATCCTGCTTCACAGCAGCAGGTTGAGCCAAACATCCTCTAAATGTGCAGGGTCATCTTTGAGCACGCCATTTCACTTTTCTTTCACCAGTTCACCGCAGTTCTTCCAGCAGTCCACACTTTCTCTGCTCTCTTTTTCTCATGGTCTTCTCCTTCTTTCCCATCGCCCGGCTTGCCACAGGTTTGCCTGCTGTGTCTAAAACTAGCAGCAGCAGCAACCCAGACTGACAGCTCATTGGCTCATTTGGATCACGTAGCCTGGAGCCGGACGCTCCCCAGGGCTTTACCGTATTAACAGGAGAAGCAGTGCAAGTGAAATTAGACACTGTCGTCAGACAACATGCGGTAATTTATAGATTTTTTAAATCAGGTCTGGATCCGGACTGCGGTCCACTAATCCGTGACCTCTGCAGCAGGCCAACACAGGTTTTTTTTTTTTTTTTTATAAAAATAATTATATGTGTCAAACAAATGTGACCCCAAATTCCTTTTTTTTTTATAACCTTAATAACCAACCTTCATGTGGAAGTCTGTGATGTGCTTAGCTTTATAAATGAGGCCCCCGGACACTATAACTTTAACCATTGCCCGTAGCTCAGTTAGTTTGAAAACAATAGACCTTACACTGCAAAAAATCAAAATCTAGATAAGTCATTTTTTCTTAAAATAAGTGCATTTGTTCTTGAATTGAGGAGGTAAAACAAACATTTTGCCAATGGAACAAGACAATTTACACTTAATATAAGAAAACACAATTTCATTGTCTTATTTCAAGTGCATATTATCTAATTATCTTATTTTAGGAGTAAAATTACTCATTCCATTGGCAAACTATCTCATTTACCAACTCAAATTAAGGGTGAATACACTTAATTTAAGAAATTTTTACTTATTTCTAGATCGTTTTTGCAGTGTATAAGTGAATGTGTGTTTTTTTTGTAGCTTTGATGAAATACACTATATTGCCAAAAGTATTTGCTCACCCATCCAAATTATTGGAATCAGGTGTTCCAATCACTTCCATGGCCACAGGTGTATAAATTCAAGCACCTAGGCATGCAGACTGTTTTTACAAACATTTGTGAAAGAATGGGTCGCTCTCAGGAGCTCAGTGAATTCCAGCGTGGAACTGTGATAGGATGCCACCTGTGCAACAAATCCAGTCGTGAAATTTCCTCGCTCCTAAATATTCCACAGTCAACTGTCAGCTGTATTATAAGAAAATGGAAGTGTTTGGGAACGACAGCAACTCAGCCACGAAGTGGTAGGCCACGTAAACTGACGGAGCGGGGTCAGCGGATGCTGACGCGCATAGTGCGAAGAGGTCGCCAACTTTCTGCAGAGTCAATCACTACAGACCTCCAAACTTCATGTGGCCTTCAGATTAGCTCAAGAACAGTGCGCAGAGAGCTTCATGGAATGGGTTTCCATGGTCGAGCAGCTGCATCCAAGCCATACATCACCAAGTGCAATGCAAAGCGTCGGATGCGGTGGTGTAAAGCACGCCGCCACTGGACTCTAGAGCAGTGGAGACGCGTTCTCTGGAGTGACGAATCGCGCTTCTCCATCTGGCAATCTGATGGACGGGTCTGGGTTTGGCGGTTGCCAGGAGAACGGTACTTGTCTGACTGCATTGTGCCAAGTGTAAAGTTTGGTGGAGGGGGGATTATGGTGTGAGGTTGTTTTTCAGGAGCTGGGCTTGGCCCCTTAGTTCCAGTGAAAGGAACTCTGAATGCTTCAGCATACCAAGACATTTTGGACAATTCCATGCTCCCAACTTTGTGGGAACAGTTTGGAGCTGGCCCCTTCCTCTTCCAACATGACTGTGCACCAGTGCACAAAGCAAGGTCCATAAAGACATGGATGACAGAGTCTGGTGTGGATGAACTTGACTGGCCTGCACAGAGTCCTGACCTCAACCCGATAGAACACCTTTGGGATGAATTAGAGCGGAGACTGAGAGCCAGGCCTTCTCGTCCAACATCAGTGTGCGACCTCACAAATGCGCTTCTGGAAGAATGGTCAAAAATTCCCATAAACACACTCCTAAACCTTGTGGACAGCCTTCCCAGAAGAGTTGAAGCTGTTCTAGCTGCAAAGGGTGGACCGACGTCATATTGAACCCTATGGATTAGGAACGGGATGTCACTTAAGCTCATATGTGAGTCAAGGCAGGTGAGCAAATACTTTTGGCAATATAGTGTAAGTACATAAAAGCCTATTTTTTTATTTTTATTTTTATAAAAAATGTGAAAAAAAGAAAATAATGCTTTAAAAGGCTCTTAATTTGTACCTTGAAACGCTTCTTTTTATAAGCACACCCACAGTAGGAGAAACTGCCTTGAAAGTCCCACTATAATAGCTCTAAGAGACACAAAAGTTTAAACTTACATAAAATGCAGAGAAAGTGACCTCCAGATACGAACTTGAGAGAATCAGAAACTAAAAAGATGCTCCTCTGTGTCTGCACCGATAAACAACTCTTCCCGCTGGAAGCAGCAGCGATTCATTCACCTGCAGCACAGTCCAGCCTGTTTGGTCTGCAGGTATCAGTCCCTCCAATTCAGCGACTGCAGATCTCCTAATGCTGGATGAGGCCTGTATACCTGCCTGAGGACCGTTTCCGTTACTCCGCCATGACCGATTGTAAACGAGTGCGACAGTTAAATACCAGCAGCTCCAGTTCGGTGCAACAATCAGAGACACACAAAAAAAGGAGGACCGCCTCGGCGTGCAGCCCTGCCGCTGGCAGTCAATTAGGGACAGATAAGCCAAAGCGGGAGGGAAGTTTTATCCTTCTATTGTATGTAATGTGTGAAGGAAAGTGGCATTGCTTTCAGGGAGTTAAATGAAGTCTTTCTGAAAGCGAAATGGAAACTGCAGCTGGGAAGCAGAGATTAGCAGCGAACCGAAGAATAGAAAAGATGGACGACGGGGAAAGGGCAGTTTATTGGAATTACAGTTAAGTATCATTGCAGGTAGATTTTGTTTTCTTTTAAGACCTTAATGACTTAAGATGAACCATGTTTCTGCAGCTTTTTGTCATGTTTGGACTGTTTATGATCGGTTTGTCTTCTACCTAATCTTTCAAGTCATTTCCCTCCGTTTCTCACAAATACCCTTTAATGTCTCCTTCATGCCTCATTTAAATAATTCTGAAGTCACCATCTTTAATGCTCTATACTACATAACTTCTGTCTTTTCTCGTAAAATTCTGCTTTGCCATTAGAGGTCAATTTTTCTTTGTTCCTTTGGTGCTTCGCTGCTCTCTAAGCTTCTTTTTATCTCAAGTATCCTCTTTGTGGTGCTTTCTACCAACCACAGCTCTGTATTATGCCAAATCCCGCAGTCAAAGGAAAGGACAGGATTTATTCCATGTTGGGATTTTAACTGGACATCATTTTCTTTGACTGATTGAAGGGATCCACAACTAGCTGAACCTGATGGCCTAAAAATTTGTATTTCATTGTCTTATATTCATTATTAAAGTCGTAGGGAAGCGACCATTCTAACCGTTACATTTCCAAATTCTCCCGAGTGGTGCCCGACTTTACACGAGTGAATAAGGTGAATGTGATTGGTCGTTGATCAAGATTATTGTGGCGGAAGGTTCGCAACCAAGTTTGGTTGTGGCCGGTTTGTGGGAAGCATCTTGCTAACCAGTTAGCATCTTAGTGCTACTTGGTCCCAATGGGAAATTCCATTGGGACCAAGTAGCACTAAATTGGTGACTTAGAAACGACGCTGTCAAGGAACGCTATGGACAGCGGAAACATGCAAGAGGAGGAGAGTTTAGTGTCGGAGGTCGTGGATGAGTCTCCTCCGTCATCCATTTTTTATTTAGAGGAGGAAAGCGGGGACCAAGATGTTGTGGAAGAGGACGCCAGGGCGGCAGAAGCTTGGTTTGGTGTAGAAGCCTTCCAGCCGTACATGTTTGAGCCCTTGCCTCGCAACGCTGCCAGTTCTGTTAGCTCTACGCCTGCTGAAGACACAGACGTCCATCCCCGTGAACACTGGGACGCAACTCAATGGGAGAGGAAAGGATTCTGATTTCAACCGTTGCGTATATTAGCTGCGACACATGAATCAAGATGCTATGACCGAAAAAACTTGATTGACAGATGACCGTTGATATATGATTGGCTGAATTTAGGTGTTCAGGCTGACGTAGAACTAACTGACAGGATTTTTTCTTTTTAAATAGAAATTTTCTAACTTTTTGGACAGTATGGTCAGCATAAGAGAACATTTATATACATGTTTAAGCCAGAATGATTTTACATTTAAATATAATTTCCCTACGACTTTAAGAACTTCATCAGTTATTTCCCAGCCAGCTCATGTGTGGGACGGTCCTACCTGTGTGATGGGGGGCGGCGTCTGCCCTGGTGACCGTGCTGACGATGTGGAGGTCCTGGAACAGAGAAACCCCCCCCGCCGTTCTGAAGTCTGAGGCCGACTGGCTGAGTCTCTCCACCCCGGTGATGGTGATCCTGGGCTCACTGGGCTGCAGCACCATCACCACGGCCTCGATGCTGGGGATGGTGATGCACGTGTCTTCACCGAAACACCTGGGCCATGGAGAGGGGGGGGTGAACAGGTGAGGAAAAGAAAACAACAGGCCGGTTATAATGACTCCATAATATTTATATTTTGAGGGGAAAAAAATAAATAAAACACAGTTCACCCACAGTAGGGTTAAGGTTACTAAAACCCTTCAGTGGATTATTTCCCATCTACAAACTGTTTTCATCGGTTAAAGTTTTTACAAAACTGAACTGAAAAACTGAAAATCCAACAAAGGCAGAAAATTAAGAGATCAAAGCAAACACTCCTGGCATCAAGCGTGGAGTCATAGATCCCAGAGACCACCCAGGTACACCTGAAAAAATCTAAATCTAGATAAGTCCTTTTTTTCTTAAAATAGCTGCATTTGTTCCTGGATTGAGGAGGTAAGAGAAACATTTTACCAATGGAACAAGACAATTTACATTTAAAATAAGAAAACACAATTGCATTGTCTTATTTTAAGTGCATTTTATACATTATTTTATAATACTAATTCATTTGGGAAATCATCTCATTTACCTACTCAAAATAAGCGTAAATACACATAATTTGAGAAATTTTTACTTATTTCTAGATCGTTTTTCCAGTGCAGGTACTTTCTTCCTCTTATTTGAGTAAATTCTTGGATGACTACTTTGTACGTTTATTTAGTTAAAACAAAATTAAGTAGCGCTTCTCTTAATTTATTTTTGGCTACTTTAAAGGAATAGTACACCCAAAACATGATTAGCCTTCATTTTCTACTCACCCCCATGCTGAACAACACTCTGGAGTACTTTTTTGATATCTCAAATGCATCTGGAGATCTGGGAGGCTTCTTGCTGTCTGCTGACATTCAAATAATGGAGGTCTATGGCGCCCGAGGCAGCAAGGTCCATAAAAGTCCACAAAAAACGTGTCAATATTCCTCCATACTGGTCGTCCAATGTATTCCAAGTGTCCTGAGTGGGTAGCATCCAGAATTTACTCGAAACGAAGTCATTTAGAATGTTTTTAGAGCATAAACAGTAGTGTATAGGATTTCCTGAAAGCGCGTTCACGACGCTACGGAAACCGCGGCAGACCAAACCAGACGAAAGTGCGCATTCAGCGTCTGCTCTGCCGATAATGCAAGCGTAGAAGAAGAAATGTGCTGTTTACCTGTGCAAAGAAAGAAACAACGAAAGAAAAATGTCTGAGGACTTCAGTGTTGAGGAAGAGCATGAGTTCTTTGCCGAGCTGAATGCGCACTTTCATCTGGTTTGGTCTGCCGCGGTTTCCGTAGACTCGTGAACGCGCTTTAAGGAAATCCTATACACTACTGTTTATGCTCTAAAAACATTCTAAGTGACTTTGTTTCGAGTAAATTTTCGGGCGCCATAGACCTCCATTATTTGAATGTCAGCAGACAGCAAGAAGCCTCCCAGATCTCCAGATGCATTTGAGATATCAAAAAAGTACTCCAGAGTGTTGTTCAGCATGGGGGTGAGTAGAAAATGAAGGCTAATCATGTTTTGGGTGTACTATTCCTTTAACCACCTCTGACTTTAGACATTTCTGCATTGTTATTTTTTTGTTTGTTTGTTTTTTGCTACAACAGATCAAACATTCTCCAAAAGCTACGAATCTGTGTTAGTGTGTCAATATTATTTTTATTAGGGGTATAAATAAGCCTCTGATCAAACCTCTGATAGTTTACAAAAGAAAATAAATAAAAACAAACATCCCCGACTGACTGCAGCTCTTCAGGGTGTCTGACATGCTGGTTCTAGAGCAGCAGACTCAGACCTGCAGCATCGTTCCTGTTTTCAACGCCGCCTCCTGAACACAGCTTTCATCAACAACGTTTAATAGGAGGAAACATATCCGCTGCTCAGGATTAGCAGTGATCATTACACGAGGCCTCACACACACATTCACACATGTATGTGATGCAAAGCTTGACTGCTGCACCGGCTGAAGACCGCAGGTGTCACATCTTTCAAATGAAAAAAACAGGAGCTATTAAAATGAGAATGGGAGCGGCAGGGATTGATCCTGGAGCCGGTGATGTTGCTACGGCGGGGCGTAAACACTGGGAGCTCAACAAACACGCCGGATTTTTGTGTTTTTACATTTCACCAAAGGCCTTTCAAACACACCAACATGAGGCGGTGGGAGGGACATCAGAGCTTTCTTCTGCCCACAGCAACAGGAAGGATAAAATGTCTTCTCTCCTGGAATCGGAAACCTTGGATGAACAGTTTATGCTGCAAGGCATTATCTGCCTTTTCTTACCACCTACATTCTGATGTAAACTAATGCTGCTATACAAAAATCCATGCCATACATCCCCGTATGTTTCCTCATCTCATCTTTTGATTTTTTTAATGTTTGGATATAAGAAGTTGAAGAAAAAAAAGGAAAAACATCAAAGCTTCTTTTTTTATTTGATCACTCAGAATTTAGACACTCGGATTAAAGAAAAAATGAAATAAATTGAACCCTCAGGCTAAAATTCTTCATGTAAAATGTCCCAATTTTCAGATTTCTGAAAGTGGTTTTAACACAGCCAAGCAGTGGAGAGAATAACGCCACGTCTGACAGTCTGACATGGATCTCACCTGCACCTCAAGGAATGACAAGACGCTGCAGGGCAGCGAAAAGTCAAGTTTCAGTTTTATGCCCTGATCAGCTGTTCAAAAGAAACCAAAAAAAATAACAGGCTGGTAAAAGCTTTATAAGAAGCAGCGACAGGGGGGGCACCAGAAATTTGGGGCCCCATGAAAGACGAAGGTCATTAAAAATCATTATAAGTCAATAAATTAGTATTTATTGACTTAATTAGCATGAAAACTCATTAAATGTGATTATCGAGGAAACACACAGCCAGGCAGACGAGCTCCCAGCCAGCTCCCATGTCAGAGGATGAAGAGAGCACATCCAGTTAGTCACATTCAGAGAAACAGGACTACACTGGAAAACAGGCCGATCTCCATCATCTAGAAACAAAGGTGTTGATGGCAGCAGCACAGCTGATATTTCTCTCCAGGATGGAGTCACAGCCAAACAGGAACAGACCAGATGAAGCTACTATGAGAAAAAGCAGAGAGAGCAGAACGTTAGAGATTGAACTAACAGATTCTGCAGAGTGGGAGAATAGAGATAGAATGAAGCAGAATGATGAAAAAGGGGTCCCTATGTCCTCCAGAAGTCTAAGCCTATAGCAGCAGAACTATAGAGATAGATCAGGATAACCTGAGCCACTCTAACTAGAAGCTTTATCAAAAAGGAAAGTTTTAAGCCTAGCCTTAAAAGTAGACAGGGTGTCTGCCTCAAGGACTAAAACTGGTAGTTGGTTCCACAGGAGAGGAGCCTGAGAACTAAAAGATCTGCCTCCCATTCTACTTTTAGAAATTCTAGGAACCACTAGTAAACCTGCAGATTGAGAGCGAAGTGCTCTGTTAGGAACATAAGGAACAATCAGATCAGAACAATTTAAAATGTTTCATTAAAAAAACAAACAAAAAAATACTTTCATAAAAACAATTTTGTCATATATATCATATTGAGATATATTTACGCAGAACTGCTTCCGGTTAATCTTAAAGCAGTATGTTCGGAAAAGCTTGAGGTGGAGAAAAAGCTAGAGATGGGAAAATGTGTAAATTGCAACAGAAGTGGCTGGAAGGGCTTCCCAATGTCCTGCCTGCCCGGGGCAGCAGAGGTGGGAGCGGAAGCTTCAGCATCCAGTCTCCCCTTCCCCCTCTGGGGGCCGCCCGATCAACCCTAGTCTGGGACCCAGCACGCCAACTGAAGGTACCTCTGGTGACGTGCGCCCGCCCCTGCTCCAAAGCGCGCCGTCGGGGCCTCCCGCCTCCAGGAGGGTCTCAGGAGACGGCGCTGGACGACACCTTGGGTGACTGGACGATACATTACATTATCATTACCCTCCATTCCAACAAAGGAGTTGATTCCACCAATCAGGGGCTCGTTTACAGGCAGTGAGTGAGTCTTGCTGCTGGTGTAGCTTTTTAGGCATGTAAGAAATGTTCGTAGCTAACTGCTAATGTTGCTAATGCTACGACCAACTACACGTACATTTACAAAAGTAAAATTCTTTAGGGAAACATTTTAAGAAAAATAAATGTAACCCGCAATTAGTCAATCAATCAAGACTTTTATTTTTGCGGGCCCACTTCCTGTTTTGCCCAAACTCCTCAACTTATTTAAAGCCCCGCCTCCAGCCAGGTTAAACTACATCACCTGTTCCACTGTGATTGTGGCTGGCTGTTGGCATCCTGCTGAACCTTTCACCCGGGAAATAATCCAAATCTCTGAAACTACTGATTTGCTCTCTTGGTGAGTTTGTTCGTAGCATAGCAGTATCGGATTGGTATGCGATTGCTGCTTGATTGCTCATTGAAGCATTGTTTTGTTAGATGAGTTGCTGTTGTGCCTGGGCTGTCACAGCTGATCGCTGTTGGGTGCGCCCCACTCCCTGCTTTAAGGTAACTAAACTGCTGGTATGGTGGCAATTTGTGAAACGAAATGTATTAAAATAGGATCATGTAGCTACATTTACATTTAAATTGATATTGCACAGTTTATTTAATTTCTTTTCCTCACACTGCTTGAGTATTTGAGTTAATTTATTCTATTTGATATTTTGAAAGTTAACTTTGATTTCAACTTTTCAAGTTTAACCTTAATTGACTAGTTTGAAATGATTATTCTTTTTGTGTATTTAAATTATGGTTAATTTAACCTGATTGAAATGTTTAATTATTAGATATTTGATAGTTGTAATTACTTTGTTTGTTGCATTTGTGTTGTTTGTTAAAACACTTAATGGGTTTTCTGGCCTTTTAGGTTGGTTTTCTTTTTATATATGATGCATCAGATCCTGAACAACTGATGGCGAGCTAAAAAAGTACAAGACCCCTAAGACTCTTTAATTGGTTTATTTGTAATTGTTTTGTTTGTTTATTGTTTTTTTTTCATCATTCTGCTTCATTCTCTCTCTGTTCTCCTATTCTGCAGAATCTGTTAGTTCAATCTCTAACCTTCTGCTCTCTCTGCTTTTCCTCAGAGTAGCTTTGCCTCGTCTGTTCCTGTTTGGCTGTGACGTCATCCTGGAAAGAAACATCAGCTGTGCTGCTTCTATCAACACCCTTGTTTATAGATGTTGGAGATCGGCCTGTTTTCCAGTGTGGTCCTGTTTCTCTGACCGTGACTGAGTGGATGTGCTTTCTTCGTCCTCTGGCATGGGAGCTGCCTTGGAGCTCGTCTGCCTGGCTGTGTGTTTCCTGGACGGGGCCGCCTTTTACAGCTGCTTTTTGTATCTCTGCTTCTGTCTCCTTGAACCCCAGTCGGCCTCGGCAGATGGCCGCTCACACTGAGCCTGGTTCTGCTGGAGGTTTCTTCCTGTTAAAAGGGAGTTTTTCCTCTCCACTGTCGCTACAAGCATGCTTAGTGTGGGGGATTGTATTTGAGTCAATGAGTCAATGCAATCAACTGGTTTTCCTTAGATAGAAAACTTTGTATCAATTTGATCTGGTTGAACTGTAAAGTGCCTTGAGATGACATGTGTTGTGAATTTGGCGCTATATAAATAAACTGAATTGAATTGAATTTTTTCTGCCCCTTATTTTTTCCCTGTTTACAAGGAAAAACAATCAGTGACGTGCGGTCAGGGGAGGCAGGTGAGGCAGTGCCTCACCAGCCATCATGGAAAGAAAGAAAATATATAATCATAAAGTAATTTAAATTGTTATATTCATCCGGTGGTTTGTACTAAAAAATATTCATTTTTCATGTAGCTTCACCAATTTCGATTTTTATTTGTTCAAAATCGCTGAATTTTCTTATTTTCCCATTCAAATGCTTGGAAGCGATGCCGGTGAGGCAGCAGCGAGCTCTGCCTCACCTTGGATTGCGCAACCCCTGGCTCTGCGCTGGCTGCAAAGCGGAGAGAGCATGTTGCTGTACGGCGTCAATAAAATAGTTTAAACAAATGTAATATGTGAACTTATTTCTAATAATTTGGCTTATGTATATAATGTACAGAGCTTTTTGTCACCAACTGTGTTTGTGTAACGTGTTTCGTGTAATGAGCGATTATAAACGGCAGAGAACAAGTTCGAGGTGAGGCAGGCAGTTCTCTTGCCTCATGGCAGGGGGTGCTCAAGAGACTGAAAACATAAGGCAGGAACAGGACGGATCAAGGAAGGCTTTCTTCCCTGGCAGTGATCTCCATTGAGACAGAGAGACTTTTAAAACTGAAGGAAGATAAGGAGGACTTCTATTCATTTATAAGTAAAGGTAAGACAGTAATAACATTTATTTTGTTTTGTTTTTTAAGGAAATGTGTGTTTTGTGAGCTACAGTTTGTATGTGTAAGGATGCAGAAGTGAAACATAACCTGTAAACTGCTGTCAACTATGCATCTATTTGCAAATCTGATTCTGATGACGTCAGTGCCTCACCAGCTATGAACCTCACCGCACGTCACTGAAAACAATAATACACTTGCACGAAACACCAACTAAAACAGTTTGCTTGAGTTTTCATTCACACCTCAGGCTCCTTAACGAACTGTTTTCTGATATCGCAGTTAGCTGCCTAGCCCCATAACTGTTACATAAAGGGGATAAAAATGGGTTCAAATTAGCCTGGTTGATTTTTTTTGTCCTTAAAGTGATTAAACATGAATTTAGCTGCAGTTTTAAAAGGATTTTTTTTAAAGTAAAGTACAAGTTATGACTTCTTATCTACAATTATGGAATATCAGCAAGAAACCTGTTCAATTTGCAAAAAATATTTAGCATCTCTGTTTACTTCTAAACGAAAAAAAACAACAACAATTCTGACCAGAAAGGCTTTTACTGGAGGTGCTAAAAATCTTGTGGCGTGAAGCCAATTTTCAAATTTTTATTTGTTTACACGTGTGAAGAGCCATTGCAACTCTGTCAAGAAGCTGCAAAAAAAAAAAAAACTCCATTTGAAGAAAATTTAGCAATGATGCAAGCTTATTTATGTTATGCAATGCCCTCAGCTTCAATAGGTTTATGGCCGGCCACCTGTGCAGCACACACACGCGCTAGCCGACGTTCTTCAGCCCATTTTCATGCCGAGCACCTGACAGGAAGGAGGAGAGAAGGAAACCCATGGCTGTGCTGCAGGGGTCTACATATATTTAAAACAATCATGAATTTTAATAGTAACCCGCTGAGGGAGACTGTATTACAAGCCACTTGCTCATTCTCTCCCTCCCTCACACATGCAGATTCACTTTCTGTTTTTTTTTCTTTTTTGGCATATTTCTTTACCCAAGTCTCCCAGCTAAACCCATCCGGAATTATTAATACATGACACGGGAATGTTAAAACTAGCCCCCGGTGGCAGCGGAGTCGTCTCAGTGTGTTAACAAGAAGTGACAGCCGAAGAAACGGCAGCGAGGGGACAGGACTGGGAGAGAGAGAGAGAGAGAGAGAGAGACGTGTGGAAATCGATGTGTGTAAAGGGAATTGTATTAGTCAGGCCGAGTTGTCTTCTGTGTTGCAGTTACACCTAACAGAAGTGTTGAGGTGGAATAACATTTCCGAGGAGAGCCGCAGGGAAACAATACCAGCCAACTTAACTGAATGCAGACGAAACAGAAGTTATAGAGTCTTTGAAAAATAAGCTGATTAGCCAGTCACTTCATCTGTATGGGATTAAAGTGATTTCAGATAATAAATCATTTCCTTATTTCATCTGCAGAATATTGCAAATATTCTCCTGTCCAGGGGTGATGCTGAGAAACTAGTCCATGCATTTATTACTTCAAGGCTGGACTATTGTAATTCTTTACTATCAGGAAGTCCACAAACTGTAGTTAAAAGCCTTCAGCTGATCCAAAATGCTGCAGCCAGAGTTCTAATGAAAAAGAGAGATCATATCTCTCCTATCCTGGCTTCTCTTCATTGGCTTCCTGTTAAATCCAGAATAGAATTTAAAATCCTCCTTCACTGCAAAAGCAATCTTAAAATGAGTAAAAAATGTCTTAAATTGAGTGTATTTACCCTTAATTTGAGAAGGTAAATAAGATGATTTGCCAATAGAATGAGTATTTTTACTCTTAAAATAAGATAATTAGATAATATGCACTCGAAATGAGACAATATAATTTTTTTATCCTATTTTAAATATACATTTTCTTGTTCCATTGGCAAAGTGTCTCACTTACCTCCTTAATTCAAGAAAAAATACACTTATTTTAAGAAATAAATACTTATTGAGATTGACTTTTTTTGCAGTGTTCTCACATAAAAAGCCTTAAATGGCCACGCTCCATCTGATATCAGAGATCTGATTGTTCCTGATGTTCCTAACAGAGCACTTCGCTCTCAATCGGCAGGTTTACTAGTGGTTCCTAGAATTTCTAAAAGTAGAATGGGAGGCAGATCTTTTAGTTATCAGGCTCCTCTACTGTGGAACCAACTACCAGTTTTAGTCCGTGAGGCAGACACCCTGTCTACTTTTAAGGCTAGGCTTAAAACTTTCCTTTTTGATAAAGCTTATAGTTAGGGTGGCTCAGGTTATCCTGAGCTATCTCTATAGTTCTGCTGCTATAGGCTTAGACTGCTGGAGGACATAGGGACCCCTTTTTCATCATTCTGCTTCATTCTATCTCTATTCTCCCACTCTGCAGAATCTGTTAGTTCAATCTCTAACGTTCTGCTCTCTCTGCTTTTTCTCATAGTAGCTTCATCTGGTCTGTTCCTGTTTGGCTGTGACTCCATCCTGGAGAGAAATATCAGCTGTGCTGCTGCCATCAACACCTTTGTTTCTAGATGTTGGAGCTTGGCCTGTTTTCCAGTGTAGTCCTGTTTCTCTGACTGTGACTAACTGGATGTGCTCTCTTCATCCTCTGACATGGGAGCTGGCTCGGAGCTCCTCTGCCTGGCTGTGTGTTTCCTGGACGGGGCCGCCTGTGGAGCTGGTTGACAGTTGCCTTTTGTATCTATGCTTCTTTTTCTATGCCTGCTTCTGTCTCCTTGAACCCCAGTGGGCCTCAGCAGATGGCCGCTCACACTGAGCCTGGTTCTGCTGGAGGTTTCTTCCTGTTCAAAGGGAGTTTTTCCTCTCCACTGTCGCTACAAGCATGCTTAGTGTGAGGGATTGCTGAAGAGTCAATGAGTCGATGCAATCAGCTGGTTTTCCTTAGATAGAAAACTTTGAATCAATCTGACTGGATGATCTGGTGAACTGGAAAGTGACCTGAGATGACATGATGTGAATTGGAGCTATAGAAATAAACTGAATAGAATTGAATTAAAGCTTACAGGGAGGCAGAGGAAGTTGAATGGGAGTTGAAATAATGAAGGAGGGAAAACAAATAACTTAGTGCAGGTTGGTGGCGCACTTACTGGACAGAGGTGGAGATCTGCAGGTGGCGGATGCCGGGTGTGGGGAACTGGCGAGAGTTTATGTAGGAAACCTTCCTCACAGCTGTGTTCATGTTCTCCAGATCCTCTCCCTCCATCACCAGGATGGACTGAGCTGGGTTGAAGTGGAACTAGGACATAAAAGAAAAGAGAAAACAGTCCGTTTTAAATGAACTTATTCTGCATTAAACGACTTTGAAGTCACTGTGGGACCCTGAAATGATTCTTAATTGGATTTTCCAGAAGTTTCTGTGAAGTCTGCAAACTAACTGGGATCAATTCAAACTCCGTTTCAGGAAGCGGTCAATAAAACGGTATTATTCTACATTTTGACCAGCTGGGGGCAGCACAGAGAACAGTGAGCAGCAGAATAAACGATCCTTGCGGAAAACAGTCTTGGGGAACATGTTTACGGTCAATTACAAACCCACTCAGAGTGGGGCAGCAGCATTAATCACTCAGAGTGGTATCTGTGGCCACTCGCTACAGGAGAGGCCAATAATCACCCTCCTCTAAACTCTGCAGCGGCTCCTGTGGGAAATCTCTGACTATTTAGCTGCTAAGTGCTGCACTTTGTTCATCAAATAGCTTTTGTCTGTCAGTTATCTGATTGCAGCGCCGTCACTGTTCTCATGCTTTTCTTCTCTTCAGGAACAACAACTTTTTGAAAAAAAAAATTGAAAACGAGGCTGGAATTATTTAGCAGCATCAAAGTGTTTTTTACACTGCAAAAACGATCTAGAAATAAGTCAAAATATCTTAAATTAAGTATATTTCCCCTTAATTTGAATAGGTAAATAAGACGATTTGCCAATAGAATTGGGATTTTTACAGTTAAAATAAGGTAATCAGATAATATACACTTGATATAAGACAATTAAATTGTATTTTTCTTCTTTTGAATGTAAATTGTGGTGTTCCATTGGCAAAGTGTCTCACTTACCTCCTCAATTCAAGAAAGAATGCACTTATTTTAGGAAAAAAATGACTTATCTAGATTTCCATTTTTTCCAGTGTACTGGTAAATTATCTGCACCTTAGAGTTCTGTAAGTCTAAAAACCCTAAAAAAAAAAAATAGCCTTTTAAAGCAGTGTGTGAGAGGAATACAACTTGTCTATGTCAAAAAATAAATAAATAAACTAAATTTGGAAAAAAAAAGCAACAACTTTGACAAAAAAGCTGAAAAAAAAAAATCAAATTTATCCTTAAAACCTTTTTAGTTTTTCCTTTATTAATCTTTGGTTTGCATTTTTTATTTTTATTTCTATGTACAAAATATGTGCTTAATAATAGAACAAAATTCACTCTACAACATGCAGGGTAACCAGATTTTATAATAGGTTAAGTGACCCTTGCCAAGGGCCGCCACTTGAAAAACAATCTAGAATAAGTAAAAATGTGTTAAATTAAGTGTATTTACCCTTAATTTGAGTAGGTAAATGACATAGTTAGCCAATGGAATGAGCATTTTTACTCTTAAAATACTTAAAAAGTGTTTTTTTTTACTTTAAGTGTAAATTGTCTTGTTCCATTGGCAAGATGTCTCTTTTACCTCCTCAATTCAAGAACAAATGCACTTATTTTAAGAAAAAATGACTTATCTAGATTTCAGTTTTTTCCAGTGAAGTAATTTTGAACAGGGGTTGCCGTGAAATTGAGCCTTATACAATAAAAATAAATAAAATGAGATTCACTACTTTATTGTCATATCATTTTCAGTGTAGCACATAGACATCATCAGTTCTCAGGTGAACACTGGAAAAAATCTAAATCTAGATAAGTAATTTTTCTTAAAAATAAGAGTATTTGTACATTTTGCCAATGGAACAAGATAATTACACTTACAAGTAAGAAAACTTAATTGCATTGTCTTATTTCAAGTGCATTTTATCTAAATATCTTAATTAAAGAGTAAAAATACCTCATTACATTGGCAAATCATTTAATTTACCTACTCAAATTACGGGTAAATACACTTAATTTACGATATTTCTTACTTATTTTTAGATAGTTTTTCCAGTGAATATATGTGCTATTAATTTAACTTGACTCTAACACTATAACAGCCTAGATTTTGTCAGCTGGCAGGAACCTGAGTCACTGCGTTTAAGTCACACGAGACTCTATTATCTCCAAAATCCTTTTGTGAAAACCACAATTATATTATTATACCATTTAAACATTGAAAACACATAATCAAAATAACACTCTAAAATACTATGGTTACGTTAAACTGAACAGATAGATATGGAAGTTACTTTGATGTACAGGCAGGTTGCCATAGTTACAGCTGTCCAAATGTTCTGGTGCGCTCTGAGGTCGTGGAGAGAAAGTCTCTCATATGCGTTTCTGTGCCATATTTCCTCGTCGTTTCTGTCATTAGACTACGTACATTTACTACACTGGGAAAACGATCTAGAAATAAGAAAACATTTCTTCAATTAAGTGTATTTACCCTTAATTTAAGTAGTTAAATGAGATAGTTTGCGATTGGAATGAGAATATTTACTCTTAGAATAAGATAATTGGATAAAATGCACTTGAAATAAGACAATGCAGTTGTGTTTTCTTATTTTAAGTGTATATGGTCTTGTTCCATCGGTAAAATGTCTAATTTACCTCCTCAATCCAAGAACAAATGCACTTATTTTAAGAAAAAATGACTTATCTAGATTTCCATTTTTTCCAGTGTACTCTGCTGCCGCCAGCGGGATACCTCTTTACTCCACGACCACAAGCTTGCTTGAAGTTGCCATGACAACGTAACTTCCGTGAAATTGTGTTGATTAGGCCTCAAATTAATTTCATTAAAAGCCAAATACATGAAAAGCATTTTTAATACTTAAAAAAAAATCTCCTTTCCGTCACTAAACCCCACTTCCCGCGGCCATGCACAGGAAAAAATCGAAATCTAGATCAGTAATTTTTTTGCCAGTGGAACAAGACAATTTACACTTGAAATAAGACAATGTAATTGTGTTTTCTTATTTTAAGTGCATATTATCGAATTATTTTATTTTAAGAGTAAAAATACTAATTCTATTGGCAAACCTTCTCATTAACCTACTCAAATTAAGGGAAAATACATTTAATTTAATACATTTTACTTATTTCCAGATAATTTTTCCAGTGTGCCTTTGCTTACTTACATTTAACGGAGTTAATCACATTTTTTTAGCGGGTCAGAACTGCAAAAAATGCTATACTTGGTAGGAAAGGTGCTTGGCATAAACGCCTGATTTAGGGAGGGGGGGTTGAACACTTTAAGTGGCGGCTGTACACTGCAAAAAAACGATCTTCAAATTTGCACTGGAAAAAATCAAAATCTACATAAGTCATTTTTTCTTGATTTTAGGGGGTAAGTGAGACACTCTGCCAATGGAACAAGACAATTCACATTTAAAATAAGAAAGAAAAAAATTCATTGTCTTATTTCAAGTGCATATTATCTAATTATCTTATTTTAAGAGTAAATATCCTCATTCCATTGGCAATAAATCTTATTTACCTACTCCAATTAAGGGTAGATACATTTAATTTAAGACATTTTGACTTATTTCTAGATGGTTTTTGCAGTGTGTAAATAAATATCTTAAAATAAGTGTATTTATCCTTAATTTGAGTGGCTAAATAAGATGATCTGCCAATGGAACACTGGAAAAAAAAAATCTAGCTAAGTAATTTTTCTTAAAATAAGTGCATTAGTTCTTGGATTGAGGAGATAAAAGAGACATTTTGCCAATGGAACAAGACAATTTACACTTAAAATAAGAAAACACAATTACATTGTCTTATTTCAAGTGCATATAATCTAATTATCTTATTTTAAGAGTAAAAATACTCATTCCATTGGCAAACTATCTCATTTACCTACTCAAATTAAGGGTGAATACACTCAATTTAAGACATTTTCACTTATTGCTAGATTGTTTTTGCAGTGAATGAGTATGTTTAGCCTTAAAATAATATAATCAGATTTATTGCAGTTAATAAGAGACTCCAGTTGTTTTATTTCTTATTTCATATTGTAGATTATGTTATCCCATTGGCCACACTACAAAAAACGATCTAGAAATGGGTAAAAAATGTCTTAAATTTAGTGTATTTATCCTTAAATTGAGTAGGTAAATAAGATGATTAGAGTATTTTTACTCTTAAAATAAAATAATTAGATAAATTGCACTTGAAATGACACAATACAATATTTATTTTCTTATTTTAAACGTGAATTGTGTTGTTTCATTGGCAAAGAGTCTCACTTACCTCACCAAGTCACTAAAAAATGCACTTATTTTAAGAAAAAATGACTTAGATTTACAATTTTTGCAGTGCTTAATTTAAAAAATGCACTTAATTTAAGAAAAAATGACTTAGATTTACATTTTTTGCAGTGCTTAATTCAAAAAATGCACTTAATTTAAGAAAAAATGACTTAGATTTACATTTTTGCAGTGCTTAATTTAAAAAATGCACTTAATTTAAGAAAAAATGACTTAGATTTACATTTTTTGCAGTGCTTAATTTAAAAAATGCACTTAATTTAAGAAAAAATGACTTAGATTTACATTTTTTGCAGTGCTTAATTCAAAAAATGCACTTAATTTAAGAAAAAATGACTTAGATTTACATTTTTGCAGTGCTTAATTTAAAAAATGCACTTAATTTAAGAAAAAATGACTTAGATTTACATTTTTTGCAGTGCTTAATTTAAAAAATGCACTTAATTTAAGAAAAAATGACAGATTTACATTTTTTGCAGTGCTTACTTTAAAAAATGCACTTAATTTAAGAAAAAATGACTTAGATTTACATTTTTTGCAGTGCTTAATTTAAAAAATGCACTTAATTTAAGAAAAAATGACTTAGATTTACATTTTTTGCAGTGCTTAATTCTAAAAATGCACTTAATTTAGGAAAAATTGACTGACTTAGATTTACATTTTTTGCAGTGTATGTGCATCAACAAGGTGAAAACAAAACTTTAATTTGCGTTTTCCTCCCACAGGAGTTTCTCTCCCTTAGGACCGTAGAGACGCTGTTTTGTGTTTCCTTCCACAGCGGCACTGATTGCCGCCCGTTCCTGGCAGCGGGCTGACACTCCACGGAGCCCCCCTGTCATTTCCCCATCCA